TCAGCAATATTTCTTAAACCGTTTTTTCAACTGCACCGGATTAAAAAAAATGTGCAGATGATGCCTTCGGGGCCCCCAAAGCTTGGGGGCCTGTGTTCCTGGAACACCGGTTTTTACGCCTTTGGTTCTGATGTGTTCTAACTGAAACATGAAAATTACCTAGTAGAAGTGGTGATTGAAAAAATAGAATCCACGAATACTAAAATACAATAAGTTTTATAATTAATATATTAAGCAAATTTGCTATTCACGAAAAGCGCATAACGTAATTTATTTAACTTAAAATAAATTTTCTTTAAAAGCAGAGAATATTAATTTTTATCGTATCAAAGCAAATTTAATTTACTCTCTTAATATGAATTAGTCAAAAATAACTAATTATAAGTCATATTTGACTAATTGTCATAGCGAAAAAGCAGTCACTAATAATTAGTCAAATTCCACTGAATGAAATAGTCAAATTAGTAAATTTAAATTTAAAAAAGTTTTGACCCAGCCTGGGATTGAACTCAGGTCTGTCACTTGACAAGTTTGTCAAGCTAACCTCATAACGCATTCGGCTGTCAGCCGCTCTTATAAAAATCAATTTTATTTGTCAATAAATATTGTTCATAATATTTTAAAGTTTAATATATTATTTGTGTTGCTGTTTTGAGCTAAACTTTTTGCATCTTTATTTGTTTTATGGGTCATTTAACCATGGAGAGGTATATGCATTTAATTCAAATAATACTTTGTTGTTGGCCGTAAACGATTAAAGAAATTAGTTACTTTTAACTGTCAGAAATAGTCAAATATGGTGACTAATCTTAAATTAGTCAAACTTTAACTATTTACGTAGTAAAAAATAACTATTTAAAACTTTTAAATTAAAAGTGAAAACGACTATTTTATTAGTAAAAAATGCTGGTACTAATTCAAATAGTAGAATTTTGACTATTTCATTTTTAGAGATATATATATAATAAAATTACGTACTTTTTGTTGTTGCCTCCTGACACTGCTCGGACTTCTAGCTTCTTTCTTCAATTACCAAAATTCCTCCAATTAGCAAGCAACTTATATTTTGGATTTCGTTTATAATATTTATCAACGAAGAACTTTAAACGAATTATTCATTAGTTTATAAAGTACATTTATAGATTATCCATTTAAAAATGTAGTCAAGTACTAAATATTGCAATAATAAATAAAAAAACATGCATTAAATAGATGAATAGTTAAATTAAACCTTTTGGAACAATAGATTTATAATTAAAATCAACCGGTTAAATCACTTCAGATTTAACTGAAGCTGTTAGGAAATTATCTTAAAATGGCATTTTTTATTCTTAAAAAAATACTCGCAAAATTTTTAAAACCCACATCTCATTATACAATATAAAGCTAATAACCTAAAAATGATTTTAAAAGTCTTTCATAAAGAAAATGGTAATTTTAATGTATACTAAGAACAAAGTGAGTCATGGTTTAAATAAACTTAATAATTCAAACGATTCATTAGTAAGTCCTAAGGATCTATTTATAAATTTTAATAAGCATTAAACGTAGGACGAGGACTGATTACATCCCATGATATTAATAATGAAAATTAATGAAGGGTTCGTTCGCTCGTCCCGTCGTTCACAAATTTTCGATAGGATATTTTAGCCAATTTTTTATGGTCCAAGTTACAAGGCTCGATTTATAATATCGTTTGATTGATCGTCCAATTTATCACAACAATATTTTCTTGTGAACGTCGTATTTACTACGCTAATCAATTATAAAAGGTCGGCTTCTTTCTAGTTCCACCTGGCGTCATGACGCGTCATGGTAAACTATCATGCCGTTAAGCCCCTCGTCGCATCTAAGAAGACTGCAGAGGCGTAACATTATCTAAGAACAGCTTAACAAATAGCCATCTTTGTCATCGCTTAAATATCTAAATTTTCCAAATTTTTGCCAACATTTTTAAGTATAAAGTTAATGATTAAATTTTTACATAGATTATTCCCTTCATTATAAAATGAACCAATCAAAAGCCTTGAATTTTTGAATAAATTTTGTTTAGATAAGAGATTAATGGCCACTTGCACCGTTTTCTCTAACTGATCAGTTAAATAAACTGCCAAGTTAAAAGGTAACAGGATATTAGTGTCCAAAATCTTGCACCGTGCTATTTTTACTATGGTTTAATATTTAACTAGTGATCTAGGTAATTTGACTAAAAAATGGAAAAGATTGGTGCTAATAACTAACTTGACACATATTTGTGACGCAAATATATTTTGACGTTAAGAGTGCGATTCTTTATCATCTGTGGTTCGATTCTATTTTATGTACGACCGATTTAGTTGATGGTAAGAGAGAATAATATGAATACAAATCCTGAAAAACAAGGGGGCACTCCTTTTTCAGAAAATGAAAAAAATCATTTAATTAATCTTGTGGATACAAGGGTATCATTGAAAACAAAGAGGCAGATAGGGCTAAAACAATTAGAGCAGGAAATTAACAATAAAAAGGATGAAAAAGAAATGACTTTCGGATTTAAAAATTTTAGAAGAAAAAGAAAAACTTAATATATGTATTATAATAATAAACAAGAAGTGACTATTTATTTTATTTTAATTTTAAATAAGTATAAATTAAATAAAACATTAAAAAATTAACATCAAAATGTGTTAATCTTGAAAGTGATCTTTTTTACTTTTAGATAAAAAAAGTTCTGCTGATTCAACGTTTTTTAAACTTATAATTGTTCTTAAATTGTTTATCCGCTAAATGATTTTGAATCATTTCTAGCTTCAGGGAAATAGTCAGCGTGGACCTGTAGTAAAATTTTACCGTACTAGCATTGCTTTACAATGTTATACGACTTCATAGTTAAACAATTCTTTAAATCATTGCTTTACATTTAAGCGCGTTTTGACATCGCAAGAGCATTGAGTTCAACGGTTACAGGCTTTAACTATAGTCTATATAATCCATAGTCGATGACTACATTTGACTTCACGTTAATTACATGCCAAAAAGCTGATCGTGGTCGTGGCTCACGTGGTACGCCAGAATTTTATGCATTGTGTCTTTAAATGATTTCAAATGACTTCAAAATGAATACATCCGACTTCAAACGTTGTCAAACGTATGACTACAGAGTGAGATGCCCCTCGTACGTCAGTTTGATGAATTCCGTTAAAGGTTTAATTATTTATTTATAAGGTTTAATATTTTAAAATCTGTTCCAGATCTTTAAATGTTGTATGGTTTGTCCAGGGGGCTCTTTATTTATTTTTTATCTTTTTATTATTTTTAATGTGCCTTCAACAGGCACCAGGCCCAATTACAGAAGTACACAATGACAAACACAAATCTTTAAAGTAAAAATTTCCTCATCAAAACCGCTGGCCCAACTTTTTGCACGTACTGTACAGGGACGGATCCAGAAAAATATTTCGGGGAGGTTTTAAAATATTTGTGTACATTGCGTTTCACACATTTTCAATTAAATTTTTATTGTGGCTTCATCTAAGGGTTTTCACGTAAGTTGAAAACCAGGCAAACTCCCATTAAAGTAAATGCAAACTAAGGCACTTGGGCACATATTTCTGCTGGGATTTTCCCTTCTGGTTCTTGCGCTCCTGGCCCTACACATCATGCTTGTTGGATGTCAAAAGCCATTTATATACCAAAGATATACATCTTTCGAAATTTGTTTCCTTTAACAACTAGAGAGGCAAAGAATAGCGAATATTTAGCAAATATATTTGTGAGCTTGGTTTATGTAAGATATTGAAATGACAACCTCAACCTCAATATTGGCCATAGATAAGAATTGTTTATAATATAGCCGAACAGGGAATCACTTTTATTTAAAAATACAACCAATGACTGACCATTGTTTAGTGACTAAGGACAAAAAACAGATGCAGTATCTTCCTAGCCTAGTCGCAAATCACCGGAAACAATTTCCTGATTCTTAAAAAGCATCCCTTATGTCGTAGTTTTTGATTTTAGTATTTTATATTATTGATTTTCCTATTATACGACTTCTAAATGATATCCGATTCCAAAAAAATTGTGGTCTTATAGAATATAAAAATAAAAATATTTAACACTTTTATTTTTGGAACACTTGTAGGTACATTTTATTGATACCTATCATTTTTAAATTTATTCAATTCGGGGAACGTTTAAACGCCCTAAACAACCCCCTGAATCCGCCACTGGCTGTACACCGATAACAGAAAAATCGAATCTTTTGCTTTAGTTATGTTCTTTTCAATTATAAAGAAGGTAATTTCCTATAATTATTTTTTATTTTACGCAAAATTCCAATAATGGATATTTACCTATTTAGTTTTTTTCATACAATCTGGTGAAAGTGGCTCACGCAATTTTATTTTAGTGTATATTTTAACAGAATTTTTGTTGCTTGTCTTATTTTATTTAAACAATTTAGTTAAAAAGTTTGACCCCAACTTCCCAACAGTTACACATAATTGCCACTATAAGCTCCGGAAATTCATTTTTTTAGGCGATGCGGCAACACGAGCATTTTATTAGTCCTAAAAAAGTTTTGCTATTTAAATTTGATGCTAAGAGGAATTTTGTCCTTGTTAATATTGAAAAAGTTTGCCCCATTTTAAAAATATTGATTTTTAGAGAGTTACGTTTTATGCATATGTATATGAATTTGTAAAAAAAAATATAGATTTTTTATGAAGGGGTAAAAGCAAAAGGGTACAAGTGCATTTTAGCATGAAAATAATTAAGTGCAGAGTTGGGTAGAGTACAATTTTTTTTATTTTCTCATAACGTGAAAATTGTACGAGTTCTTCATGTTGATTAATGCAAACATTGAAACAAGTATCCAGATTTTTGTATATATCAAACACTTTAGTTAATAACTCCTCTTCTCTTTTTTGCACTTGTACCCTTTTTCTTCTTACCCCTTTACATTTTAAATATATTTTTGTGATATTTGTAAATATAATAAATAAACCCATTAAGGGGTACAAAAATATTTATTTTTAAACAAATAGATACATTTTTTATTTATTTTATCTTGTTGGATAACTTTTCCAAGCTCACAGTTTGCGATGTAGGTTTTGAAGCTTTTTTTCGTGCCCAAATATCCATGGCGAATTTTAATTCACTGTCGAAAGCATCTTTTAAGGTCATCTGAAAAAAACAACATGTATTTAAGATAACACAGTGCTTTTTTGGTAACAGAGGTTAGATTATACAAAATATAGCTTTTTATTTAAAATATTAAATTTTTTTTCAGTTAATAGCAAAAGTTGCTGAAGATTGCATAAAAATTTCATAAGCACTATTGTAGCAGCACTGTTTAATACTTTGTTAGTACTATAAACCTGTATACATCCACAAGATGTACTATACTTCACACATCAATTTTGCAACTTCGATAGAAGTAATTAAGGTTAATTTTTTGTTTGTCAACTTAATTTCATGTTATTTTCTAAAAATAACACAATATTTATATATACATACAGGGTGTTATGTAATTAATGTTATATATTAAAATGGGTTGTTCCTTAGGGTCAATAAAGAAGCACCTGAAACATTTTTTTTCTAAATTCCAAAGACTAAAAATAATTTATAATAACCTTTTTCTACTCCTATTACGGAATTTGACCGTTCTAATATCAATTTTGTCTATGGAATGACATATATTCCGTAAAGTGTTGCAGAATGAAATATTCTATCATCGGATTACAGAATAAACACTCGTGGCGACATCTCTGTTTGTAATATCTAACAAATTTTAGACCGATCCAACCTCACTTTCTTCCAATTAAATTATTTTTCTATGGTATTTTTTAAAAACGTAGGAAAAGTATAATCTGAAACACGTTTGGAATTGAATATTTCGCTCTCGTGAAACCGTCAAACTCGCCTTCGGCTCGTGTGACAAACTCTTCACTCGAGCGGAATATGCTGTATTCCAAACTTGTTACAGAATATACTATTATCCTACCAAAAAGTACGCCACTGATCGACTAGGAACTTTAGGCTAATCTGGTTGCCTAATTTAATTTATTATGTTATGGTTGGTAACAACAGCGTTTCCAAATTCTGTGAAAAAAGTTGCCAAGCATTGTTTAAATTTAGCTTAATTACAAAAATGACAAAATCAACAATGCAAATTGTCAATTTGGCGTTTTTATTAATTGTAGGTTATGTCAATTTTGTACTTAAGGTAAATTCAAACAAAATCTGCCAACTTTTATGACAGAATCTAGTGCATTTCTTTCAAATTTTAGGTTATGTGCTCAAATTGTAAATATCTTAACTAAGGGACGTGCTTTTGGATTTATTTACACAAATTAAATGTTTACCTGTGAACTGGTCCCAATTTCATCTGAGTAAACAGAAAGAAAATAACCGTGGAAAAAATTAATTTTTTGGATTTTTTTAAATAGGTACTAAATTTTCTAATCATTGCTTAAGCTAATAGCTGGATGAGTAAATAAATACAGAAGGGTATTAGAGCTTTAAGGGCATAAAACTTTTGTATTTATTGAGTTTTAATTTATTTTTTGCAAGAACAATTTTTAGTAACAATTTTTTATATCTGGCAACGCGCAGCTACTTTGTGGGTTGGTATCATATACTCACAGAACACAAGTGTGCAGAGATAAACCAAGTGTGTAACCAGTGGCGTATCACAAAAAATATAAAAAACTTCTAATGCATTTTTTTTGTATTTTTTTTAATATTTTTCCTTTACTCCTTATGTCAAAAGGTATTCAGTATTTTAATATATAACATTAATTACATAACACCCTGTATATATTTTGTGTTTTAAATTAAGACCGGTATACACAAAAAATACATAGGTATATTGCATTATTTTCAAAATAGAGGACGAAAGAAAATTAACCTTAATAATTTATATGAAATTCGCGTTGTGGGACTTTGATGTGCAGAGCATAGTACCAAATAGAGACCCTTCATGAAGGGTATGTAGTGCCAAATAATAAAAAATGACAAAACAATGTTTTTTTGTTTTTAAAACATTTTAACAAAACAAATCTTTTAAGTATTAATGGACCATTAATAATAAACACGTCGCTTTTTGGTTAATAATTTAAAATATAGACATACATTTTCTTTTGCATGACCCTATTTTCAAAATATTATCCACGTAAACATAAATTGATGATTTTTCTTGTTTATTTTTAAACCCTCTTTAAGTAATGGTTTATAAGAAAATTAATTTTTTTTCGAAATCGGGGTGAAAGAAAAAAATTTATTTTATTATATCATTTTCTTAAAAAGGTTTAGAGATATTCAAGATATTGTTGAACTTTATCGTATCTATAGGGGCTAGAAAGAAGGTGTTTCTACGGCAAGCCATGCAAAAATAAACACAAATGGCTAGGCAATATTTATATTTTTATAGAGAGCCCTTCAGTGATATGTTAATTAAAGTGAAATAAATATTTTTTACAATTTTATTAAACCTTTTTGGTTTAAACAAAAGCTGCATTTTTTATGATAAATAATCGGCTTGATAAAATTTAATATTATCTAATTATAAATTAGATTTAATATTAGGTTACTATAAGATATTGATTTCTGAAGAAAGTTACATAATCTAACCGTGTGTAGGTGTCGCCCGTATTTATAAATTTAATTAAATTGCATTTAAATTTTCAATATTATTGACAAGAAAATAATTCATATATTATGTGGAATACAAAAATATGGAAATTAAAATGGTTTTGATGGTACCAGTTGTATTAGTTATTTACCTAACTAGTGCTAACTTTTCCGCACGTGTTCGGTACAATATTTTTTCTAAAAGCAAGTTTTTATTTGTAGAGGAAATATTTTTTCTCCACAATTCAAAATATCCATATATTTTTTTCAAAAATCAAAATACCGTATTCTATAGAGAATTTATCGCTACATCAAATTTCAGAAAAATTTACCATGAGCCTTGAAAGAACCCGAAGAAGGGCCTGTACTCATACTTGCGAGAGATGTGTCGAAATGTCAAATTATACGCTCGGTTGCAAATGCTCCAAAATTTGTTCCAAGAGCGTTTTCATTAATGGCATATGGAAAGAGTTGCTGGAGGTTTGTAAAATAAAATTTCAATATAGGTTGTATGTTATTAATGCATAAAGTATTGGAATAGTGACCTCACAGCTAGTGTTCTTGTCAGAAATTTTTAGCTTTCCCTATGATTCCTATCAAAATACAAAGTTAACGAGGTACTAATTAAAAGACTAAAAATATGGCAGCTACTAACTGTTAGTTTCGATTTAAACAAGTTTACAAGACTGGTTGTGCGCCCATGGTGCTTATAGGCCAAACTCGTAAAAAATTGTTGGTGAACAAACTTAAAAATCAGTCTCGGGGTCTAGAAATATGAATTTGGTTTTAAATTTTATAAAAACAAAACTGTGGTCCTAAAATGGATAAGTTGACATTGACATTACTTCATAAATACGAAATAAAAGACAATCTAACGCACACTACTGATATTACAAATAAAAAAATAAGCAGTTTTTTCACATATTTAATAATATCCCTGTAAATCTTCAATAGGTATAGGGAATGCTGCAGCATTTTAAAACAAAACATTATTTGATGTGGAATGATGTAAAATTTGTTTGGTAGTTTCTTTTGAAATAAGAAAGTTATTGGTATTTAAAATGACAAAAAAGTCAACGTAAATACCAGATAAAGTGCTCCTTAGTCAACAGGTACACCAAAAATTACCTTTTTAACATTACAATTAGTGCTAATATAGACATATTAGTGAGGCCATCCATCTGTCAAAATTTTTGAAAAAAAATGAAATATCTCAAAAACTGTTCAATATAAAACAATAATAATATAATATATGGTTCCATTTAATAAACCAAAGTTGATATCACAACCGAAAGTGATAACGCATTGAAAATAATTTAAAAATCTCAAAATTTTAAATCGATATCTTTTTCCGTTCTCCATAAACTTAGTTAGGTAAATCACTCTGTTTAGGCAATGGTCAAACTAAAAATCCAAATATTATCATCCAATAAAAAAATTGTATTGTTATTTTCTTGGTGAATTTTTAAATCTTACCACACGGTTCACCGAACACCGTTTTTAACGAAAAAAATAGAACTTTGAAACATTTAAAAAAAAATACTTACCAACTAAGTATTCAAAAAAAAGTAAAATGAAAATCTTCCATGTAGATCTGTCAAAAATTTTGTCAAACTACTTTCAGTTTTTTGTTGCTATATTTAATATATATATAAATATTTTTTATAATTTTGCCGATAATATATCAATTTTTTATTGAAATAGGTTTGTATAGTTTAGACCACTGATATTTGACCTCGCATAAAAACACTATTTCTTTTTGTTAAAAGTAGCCGCCAACTATAAGTGAGATTCGTATTAAAATTATAGTTTAAATAAATTATAATCCTCTTTTGCCTATGAACAATGTTCATTGAACATGCCTGGGTTTACAATTTGTTGCTTCGATTTTTATCTTGCCGCTCAATACAAAATATTATTTTTAATTCTGTGGTTAAAACTTGTAAATTGCGCCCGGATTTGCTTCGAGTTTTTATCGATGTTTTTTACATGTCGACCTTTTTGTTCGAGTTCAAATGTTTAAAATGTCCCAGTTTTGTATTTTATTCCACCACCAGAACTTCACCTTATGCTGGGCATTGTACAAAAACTTTTTGATTCCCTAAACAGCAAATATCCAGAATTTGGGAGGCCTGGGTAAAAAGTGCTGGAATCTGCTTTGACCATTAAGGCAAATTTAATGGCAATAATGCACGAAAACTACTAAAGTAGTTTGCTGCATTGAAAACTTTGTCATAAGCTTTGCTTTGTTTGGATGTTTTTTACCTACTGATTTATAATTCCTATTTTAGACAATGAATATATACCCGTATTTGAGGCGTTCAATCAAGTAGTTTCTGGCTGTTTTGGCCAAAACTTAGCAGATGAATATAAAGACTACATAAAAAAATTTAAACTACAATCATCAAAAGCTGGAATTACATGTACACCAAAGATCCATTCTCTCATTTATCATGTTCCTCAATTTATTGAAGAAACGCAAAGAGCCCTTGGTTTCTTCTCAGAGCAAGCATCGGAGCAAGTTCATCATTCATTCAATATATTTTCCAGGAATTTTAATTTATCCAGAAATAACTTCAAAAAATATAATATGAACTTGCTTCGATGTCTTTGTGCATACAATAGTCAACATCTGTAGGCTTAGATTTATTTTGTTTTTTTTACATTTTTGTTTAAGTTTATCAATTTTTACGTTTATCATTTTGAATAATGCATTCAGAAGAATAAAGTTTGAGTTTCTTACTATCGTATGAGTCTTTCAAATTAAAAATATTCTACAAATATTAACTTTGAGACAGTTAAAATATTATCAATATACGATACTACACATAAATTACTAAGAATTGATCGCTATTTCCCAAGATCTACATAAAAGATTTTCATTTTACTTTTTTTTGAATACTTAGTTGGTAAGTATTTTTTTAAAAAATGTTTCAAAGTTGTTCTATTTTTTTCGTTAAAAACGGTGTTCGGTGAACCGTGACCAGTAAACATATTTAAGGTTTAACTCAAATGGTGTTAATGTTTAAATAGATAAATATAGTTCTTTAAAATGCATAGAAATGCTGGTCATTGTCGTTAAATCTATTTTTATCTTATATCTTTGCTTTTCAGAAAAAGTAAATATTTATTGAAATGTCAAAGAAATGCCCTTTGAAATTGGTCGGTAATAATAGAAATTCTCGGATTCTCGAAACGATCGAACACAGAAAAAGAGAGAATATTTATCGTGTGGGTCTGTGTCGGTCGCCGCGTGGATTCGCACCCCGCAGCGCGGCCCGCTAAATGAAAAAGAAAATATTACCAAACAATCGAAGTGTCAACTCACTTGTCCGTCGACGGCTATCTTCCTGACATTCCAGAGAAACTCGCAGACGGCGATCGAGAGGGCCACGAAGACGCCGCCGATAAGTACGACGAACACGCCACCCACGTGGTCCAGACCGAGCTCCGTTGCAGTGGCTTCCGAAGAATGTTTGTCTTCCTACGCAACACACAAACAAACATATTATTTTTTTATTAATATACTCTTCACTATACCTAGACCAACCTAGACTAACCTAGTTATATTTTCTTAATTGTTTCTTATTACAAAACCCGATTACAATAATTGAATAATTATTACAATATTGAATATATTGGTTGTATAAATAGTATATTATGTATCAAGTTTTATAAATGCCATTTTAGTTACGAATTTATTAGGCACGAGCGAAGCTTGCAAGCGTCTACGATCAACTCGAGTTGCATACTATTATGAGGCGACGTTTGCGTCAAAATAAAAATGTAGAAAATTAATATAATATCTCTCACAAAATATGGAATGTATAGAAAACACAAAATATAGAAAATCTAACAGAACATATAAAAGGCAACAAAATATTAAAACTCGGGTTCCTCACTTGACCGTTTGAGGGCGCACGACGCACAAGTTTCAAAAAGACTAATATTAGGAGATTTTTCGACAATGTTTTCTTTAAATCCTTTTGCTTTTTAATTTTAATATACAGCTTTAATTGGAAACGATGGAGGAATCTGCCAAGGATGGATGAAGTTACAACATTTTTCAGGGATATGATGCATGACTTCGCTGAAGGGGTTCTATTAGTCTTGTTTGTTTGTTTAATTTTCTATATTTTTTTGGATTTTATTTGTTTTATTATATATAATAATACACCTATAGGTAGTTTTATTTTATTTGTTTTATTATATATAATAATACACCTATAGGTAGTTTTATATGATTTGTTTGATTTTATTTGTTTTGTTACAGGTGTAGGTATTATATGTTTCGTTATGTTTTATATATTTTGTTGAATTTTATTTGTTTTGTCACAGGTGTATTATAATATACATATTATGTGTTGTTGGATTTTATTTGTTTTGTTATATTTTATATGTTTTGTTATATTTTATTTACCTATTTTGTGTTTTCTATACATTTTCTGTTAAATTCTATATTTTGTGAGAGATATTATATTTATTTTCTACACTTCTATTTTGACGCAAACGGCGCCTCATATACAAAAGTGATCTTTTAGTTCCACCCTTACTTCCTAAGAAATCCCAGAAGCCAACTGAATGGCTTGAGCGGGTTAGGGGTAGGAACGGACCGCGGGCTTAAAGTCCGCTCCGAAGGACTATTACACAATAGGACAAACATAAATAAACAGCCCTACCCCTGGTGGGATTCGAACCTACGACCTCTCGGCTTGTCAGCAGCAGTAACCACTAGTCCACCGTCGGCGGTCTACGACACTTAAGCCAATTTTATTTTTTAAACATTTGACATCTGTCAAATGTCAACGGATTTAACCTCACTTTTCTCCAATTTATAATAAAGCTAATTTCAGCCCGTGACTAAAATGTCCAAAAGCCAGTATTGCTGACTTCAGCCAGTGACTAAAACGCTATGAAGATAAAGATAAAATACCTTTTATATAACCAATATTGTATATTGTTTTCTATACAGTGTGACCCATTCCCAGGTAGCACACTGACGTTTGCTGACGTTTATATGTCGTCTTCTCACGTTTCAATGACGTTAGCAGACGTCTTTATTTATTGTGCGATTTTAACCGGATTTGTTTTAGAGTGTAGATCTCGATAAACTGTATTTTTGGAGAAAAAACGCCATATTTTTACAATATACAAGGCCTACTATGTCAGTTTTTAAGAGTAAATTTTTAAGAATTCATATTAGTATTTTTTTAAACAAAATCTAAGCACGGCACCGGATTCACCATCGATCAAAACTACCCTTTACTAAATTTTATTGAAAAATTTGAAGTAGAAAAATGCACAATAATAACTACAAAAATTTATTCTGTCAAGTTATCCATGAAAAAACATTGAAATAAAATTAAACTAATAGTAACATGGTTTAATATGTTTTTCTTATGTCATTTTAACACAAAATATTCAGATTTAGCAATTGGAAACTGTAGAAGAGTGAAACGTACGAGGTGTGTTCAGAAAATATCGGGAATTTTCGTTTTTTGAAACAAATATTTATTTATTCGTCTACATGTTGTCGCCTTCAAAATAGTTTCCATTGGATATTATGCACATGTGCCAGGTCTTCTTCCAATACTTCTAAAACTCGATCTTTGGGATAGCCTTTTGTTCTTTCAGCGATGCGCTTTTAATGTCATCTATGCTTGCAAAACGACGGCCCTTTAAGGTTCTCTTTATTTTTGGGAATAGGAAAAAGTCAGACAGAGGATGAGCCAATCGATATACCAACATTATCAGCGACTTCCCTGATGGTTTATAACCATTTCTTTCACTTTTTCCATGTTTTTATCGGTTGTTAATGTGCTTGTGCGTTCGGGGCGTTCGTCATCTTCAACGTCTTCACGGCCATCTTGGAAACTCGTATACCACTTGTAAACTCTTGTTTTACTTATAGCAGACTCACTGTAGGCCTTTGTTAACATTTCACAGAATTTATTTCATTTTTTAAGCAAAATTTGATACAAATTCTTTGATCCATTTTTTTTAACGAACGAAAAATCGCCGAGCTCATAAAACACGTCTAACCTTAGCGGCTGCCACAGACAAAGTAAACAATGAAAACAGCTAAAGTTTTTATCATACTTCGGGGGCTTGTATACCAACATAATAAAGAAAATTTTATGACAACCGGACCCTCCAAACCCGCGAAATTTAACAATTCCCGTTATTTTCTGAACACCTCTCGTATATTTTAGTTTTATTTTGCCAAGAATGTGATTTGTTTGCTTTTGATTCTATAAGGTGGTGGTTTCGTGTCGCACCATTATTATCTCAAAAACTATAAGAGATAGAGGGAAGGTTAAATTAGAGAAAAGTTTTTATTTTATGAAGATTAAGAATCTTAGATATCTTGTTACGTTTTTGATTTATTGAGAAAAAACTGAAAAATGATTTTCATAAAATGCATTGCTCTTTCACCATTCTAGCTATGTAAATGATACTTTGTATTTTTTATAGAAAGCAATTTTTACTACCTTGTATACCTAATATTTAATAATATACATAATAAACAAAATAAAGACAAAAACAAACAATTTCTTAAAAATACCTTTGCGTAATTAAAATAAAAAACACGTAAATAATTATTTATAATAATCTTAACTGACTTATGAAATTTTATGGTAGATCACCTGATTACCGATAATGATGATGTCAAAATCCTTAAAATGTACATATCGAAATTACTGTTTCAATTATGCTTTAAGACATCTTAAACCTTGAATATTTATTTGCCTTCCTACTTTGTTGAAGATTCTTTTTCGAAGATAACACATAAGCCGCAAATAAGTCGTTGGCATTTTTACAGTGCTTTACAGTCAAAGAATATAAAATAGTGACACCTCTTATAAATTTTCCTTTTTTCCGATACCGACAAATATTTTATCTTTTTGTTATGTCCTCGTTAAACCTTACGCAATGCGTTTCTCGAGTACGCTCCTGCGGAGTTTTCCAAGAATTCTTCGGAGGTCCGAGTGTCGTGTTTACATAATTATTATCTTTGGAAGTGTGTTGTTAAAAGGCTTAGGACAAATTTTGACAGGTTGAATAAAACAGCATAAATCATAGGTTTTATTGAGTTGGTAGACGATTTCTTCAAGACCACACCGTAGCTATGCGTAGGAAGGGTATAATTATTAAATTATTAAATTATTATAATCATCAATTATTTTACTTAATATAAAATATTTTAATGTGTATTTTTCTTTAAATTAATTAAACTATGAAAATTTTAAAATTAACAATTATTTGTAATTTAATATTACTGCATATAATATTTTTGTTCATAGCGCCTCTATTTTCAGTACTTGTAGAGCGGGTGAAATTGTTTCAATCCTAGGGTCCCTTGCACTTAACCCATATATACCTTCGGTCATCTATGACTTAACCTCACATTATTATACAAGAAATGTCAGATCTAAAAGATTGAAAATTTTATGCGCTAACCGCAAATAGAATTTTTAATAAACTTGCAATGAAAAATTGTATGCATTATTTCGAATGTAACTCGGCGATTGCAACTCGTATGAGTGCATCCCTCGCTTTGCTTGGGCAGAAAACTTTACAATAGTTGCAAGGATTGCAATCCAATCACTATGTTTCATCGCTTGTAATGCAATGTACTAATCTTTAAGTCATAATTTTATTTTTTAAACAATTGTTTATTAATACATAAAACGTACAATTAATAGCTATTTACATACCATGGGAGGAAAATAGTGCTTTTCCTCCCGCGAATAGTTTGATGCCCGACGCGAAACGAAGGGCATTAAATATTCAAGGGAGGAAACGCATTTTCCTCCTGAAGTATGTATATAGTTTTTTCTATTTCCTTTTAACGGTTTTAAAACATTTTAAGCGTTCCGGTTCCTTTTACTAATCCGGTATGGGACTATAAAATTATGACAAAATATTAAGTAGGTGTTGCGTCGCCGACGTTATGTTGACAATGCTTTGTTGCTATGGTATTTTTGGTAATACAAACATAACAGTTGTTATAAGCTGTCAGAATGTTTATCATAAATTTGAAATTCTTCCTACGTTTTGAAAATGACTTCTAGCGAGGAAGACCTGCCGCAAGATCTTGCTGAAGAGGAAAGAATAGTTGCAATTAATTTCCTTCCTTAAAAATCGAAAGAGCGATATGAAAATGAATATAGTTTGTTCAAAGAATGATTGGACAAGCGCGGAGCAAATTTTTTTCTACAAAATCAAATAGGGCTAGACAAGGTACAAAAACTCTTGCTAATGTAAAATTGTCAAAAAAAAGAGGGAGGAAAGTTTTTTCCTCCCGGGGAGGAAAAGAGGCATTTTCCTCCCTCGCTCGGGGGTGGAAAATTAGGTTTTCCAGTAAGGTAGTAGAAAAAATATTTATTATAGTATAGGTGAGGTTAGATTAAATATGATTGTAGTGATGGACCAAATGGGTTTTTTTACAGAGTATAAGGTACAAAACTTAAACCGATTGGTCTAATTAATTTTACAGTGTAGAAGTTTTTTGATTTAAAATAACAATTATTTAAAAACAAATAACGATATATTACGTTTACATGTAATAGTTTTGTTTTATATTTACAACTACCTACATGTTATATTTTGGGTCTTAACTTAAGAGCTGTTACGTTGAAATGCATATTTTACATTATTTTTAAAAAAATAAGACAAACTTAATTATGAAACTACGTTCCTCATTAAGATGTAAAAGTGGGCCCCTCTATCAAAAGGCATAATATGCCAAAAGCGTACGCAGGGAAGCCCACGGATTTGCAAAGTGCTTACCACGCCAGTAAAATGTTAAAATTCTCAAAAACCTAAATAAAAATTCACCAGAATTCTCCAACTTTGCCAAAAAAAAAATCTCCAATACTTTTAATGGACAAAAACAAAGAGGTTTGTATGGACACAAAATTCAAAATAGTATATTATGTATACATAATATACTATTTTGAATTTTGTGTCCATACAAACCTCTTTGTTTTTTTACATAATATACTTTGTTTTTATACATAATATACTATTTTGAATTTTGTGTCCATACAAACCTCTTTGTTTTTGTCCATTAAAAGTATTGGAGATTTTTTTTTTGGCAAAGTTGGAGAATTCTGGTGAATTTTTATTTAGGTTTTTGAGAATTTTAACATTTTACTGGCGTGGTAAGCACTTTGCAAATCCGTGGGCTCAAGTTTGATAAACGCCATTTTATACATGAATTTAATTTAGGCATGAGCGAGCTTGCGACCGAGTGCTTAAATTAATTAGTGTAAAAAAAAGTTTATAAACGAGGTGCATATTATACTTTTTCTACGAGAAATACTTATTATTATCTTAAAATGATTTAAACGAAAAATTCATCTATGAAACTATAGGGGAATCTGTGTCACCGTCAAATGTCAAATTTTTATATTATAAAGGTTATAAATCGAAATGTATTTCTTGAAAATTGAAAGTTTTTTACAGTGAAAGCACTTTACAGTGGAGTCCGTGCCCGAATTTAAGTTATAGTTTACTGCCGGCGAAATTAAAAGGTCAGTACAATGTTCATATAAACTTTTAAATTTTTGTATTGAGCTAATAAAATAATTTTTACATTTACAACTGTCAACTAACTTAAAACTAACTTTAGCCCGTGACTAAAAACCTGTTGCTAACTTCAGCCCGTGACTAAAGGAAAAAAAGTCACAACTTGTCAATGTGTATTTAAAAGGTCACTTAGTGTAATAAAAACATGTACAATAAAGGGCGTTTTAAAGGTGGGAGTAGAAAAAAAATAAAAGTGTTAAAAAGTTATCAAAAAATATACAAAAAAAACAACTTTGTAATATGAGGCTTTAATGCCTTTTTATATAATAAACATTTTCTTTTAACATGGAAATAACAAAAAAATAATTTTTAAAGCTATACAGGATGTCACAAAAGTTGCTGGCCAAACTTTGCTAACGTCATTTAGGTACAGATCAAAATAAGTCTATTTTTCTATATACAAAGTTTGACGGGCACATTTTAGGATAAACTGTAGAAGGATATAGATAGTACCTACTAATATACTGCTGTATCTGAGACATGATATGTAATACATATTACACTTTATGTTCTGTGATTACACTAATAGTGTCTTCTGTTCTTATGTCCTATTCTGTGCATAGATGGTGGCATAGATTAATAACTTTAATGAATGGTGGAGTCACATCTTTTTTAAATATGTGGATGGAGGGTATCAAGATTTTACCGGTCAAATTCTTGCAGGGTATCCAACTTAATTAAAAAATCACTAGTACAACGCACCCAACCAAAACTTTCAATATTTTTTATTTTGTATTTTAATTATTAAAAATTCGCTAAAAACTCTCCGATGCATCTTTAAATTCTCCAGGTTTGAGACTTGTCGCTATCTAACTTGAAAACTCTCAACCAAGAACAAAAAAATCACCAGAAATGGTGAAAAATTCTCCAAGATGGCATAGCGGTCCAATGCTGGCTGGATAATTTACAATACATACACAGAGCTTGCGCACGAGTATTTGTGCATCCGTAGGATCCATTTTTCCATTATATTTTCTATTTTTCTATATCTTTTTTATTAACGCATTTAACGATTTTCTCTTCCTTTTACTGAGAAAGGTGTTTTATTGTGGCTCATTTTCCGAAGCATTTGCTAGGAACTAGCGACTTAATAAACGAAATCTACAACTTCAAAATTAGTTTTAGTTATTTTTTTTCTCAAAGATAATATTAAATTCAATCGCTTTCTCCATTCGGTGTGTTGCTGTAACTAATGCGTTTATTTTAAAATCTCAAGCACAGTAAAAAGCAGTTTTTTTTAAAGATTCCAATGATATAATAAATCATAAAACATCAATTCATAATAATTTAATTTAATAATACATTTGAATTCGAATAATTTGAACAAGTATTAGTTTAAGGGTTCTTTTACTTTGGGCAGCAGAATAAAAATCATGTTTATTTTATTTTTTAACCAAATATCAGTTTGCTTAAAAAAAATGAAATAATTGCCTGGCTTTTTCCAATTAAATACTGGAATATCTCATTTAAATTTAAATGGCCATCGGCCCATTTATTTTACTTCAACTTTAAACCGAACTGTGACAAAAGTTTTAAGTTAATATTTTGGTCAAAAAGTTTATAAATATACATTTACACGTTCCGTTAAAAATTTCTGATTCCAATATTATACGTGACTCAATTTATTTTATTACCCATTTAATATAAAATTGCATTAATATTGTATTTTATGTTTGTTGTAAAAGTTTAAAAATAAAGATATGGTTTATTCTAAAACAAGTTCCTATTAACTTACTTTGCATTGTCCTCCTCCATGCATTTCCTTCCACCATTTATCTTTAAGTTGTGTTAAGGTACCACTTTCTTGCATTTTTAAAATGGCTTCATTTATTTGCTTTCTATACTGAGCATCTAAAAAATATAATAAACCTTACAAAATATCTACACTTTGATAAAGAAATAAAAAATAAATATTGCATAGGTGTACAATGTACATAATGTTTTTTTTATATTGTTGCGTTTAATTATTAATAATTATTAATATATTAATACAATGTAATGTAATGTAATTTTTATTTAAAAGTTTTTATTGCAATTCTTTGGGTAATAAATTCGGTAAGTAAATAATCGCTCACATGTTTTTTTAATAGCAGTTGTAGGTTATTGTGTGTTTAATGACTTTTACTTGTTAAATATACAAAATATTGAAAAACAAGTAGGTATAAAAATTTATTAAACTCATTTTTCTTGTCATGGTCATGGTCATAGTCATGGTATCGGCTGTTATTTCATAAAATAAAAAATACGACTGTTTGGTGAACAGTGCCCTGCTTAAAATACCCCATAGAGACCTATATAAAATAATCTATCGGGTGCTACCGGATTCAATATGTCCATGGTTCTTTCCAGATTCGGCCAGATAGAAAATTTATAGGAAATTACCTATGGGCACACCATAACTTTTACATTTTCGGTATTGAGACCGATAGCAAATAACTCAATGAAGGAAATTGGCAACATTTTATTAAAACCTATGGGGTCCTATGGGGGAAAAACTAATTTCTACATTTATGTGTATTTTCCCCATTGAAACCAATAGCAAATAAATCAAGGGTGGATATCCCTATAGAGCAGGGGTTCCCAACCTTTTCTTGTTTAGGGACCACTTTTATATTATTCTTGTTAGCATGTTAAATTATACATGAAACTGTTAACAATGTCAGATTTTTTCCATTTTATTATTTACAGTATTAAATTTCTTAATAAAACTTATGCGATGCGCTATTGGTTTTAAATGTAGTTCTTTTGAGGTTACTTTCACGACGCAATTTTTTAGTTTCATTTTGCACATTTACATCGGTCCCCTCTCTTTCCTTATCTAAGTGTTAAACGGTTAGGAAAATCTGATAGTTTTCGAATTTGTCTAGATGGGTTTTTACAGCCTAGTAGGTAGAAAACTATTGGACTAAATTATTAAAACAGCCTAGGCGATTATCAATCATGACGTATAGGAAAGATAAAAAAAATTAAATAAAATAGACGATGTAAATTACTTGGTTTAAAATAAGTCGATTTAACACAATTTACAGTTGCATTTTAGTAGCGTTATAAAGAAAAATGCAAAACATTGTAGTACTTAAAAGCAAATAAAAGTTTTTGGTACCCATATTTTCTGGATAGGTAATGGTTTAGTGTGTCAAAGATATTATCTTTGTGTATAGTCAAAGATATTATCTTTGTGTATAGTCAGTATACACTGAGATATAGTAAAGTGTGTTATTTCTGTATAGCCTCAGTATATACTTTGGTATAGTGAAATGTGTTATTTGCTCATGGTCATTGCATCAGCAGTAAAAGAAGATAGGAGCGGGCTCCCGACTTCAAACATTGAAGTTTTAAAAAAATACTTGGTATAGCAACAAAAGACTTAAATTAAATGCATAAATAAAGACACTATATTTTAATATTTCGTATGTATACGTAACGTATACGTTTCTGGACTGTTTATAAAAAGTTTACTGAATATTTTCGTATTAAGCCTAATCCAGCGAAGTATTTATTTTTATAAAACAAAAATTGAGCTTTGGCAGCATTGCCTTTTAGTATTTAGTATAATATAATGGCCTAATAGTGAGCCCGGTGTATGATGGCATGGCATAAGGAGAAGAAGAAGAAGAAGAGGCGGCATTCTTCGGCGGTGAATCTTTGCATACGAAACAATTGGAACCCCGTGGTTCTTTTACGACGATTCAGAGCTAACTCTTTGGTCTTAAATAGATCCGACTGTTTATTGTTTCTTTGTTAAAAGCACAGTGATTTACGATCAGTGGCGTTTTATATGAACCGGGCTCCAATTTCAAATAAAATCAATATAGATTTATTGTTCGATCTTTGTTTTTGGTTATGTGATAATTTTTTTAAATTATTCAAATGCATCTATAAAATCTTGCATTTATAACTTCTTTCCACATTTCTTGTAAATTCTATAATGCCCTTTATAAAATCATAAAATGTACATTATAATTTTATTTAGAGGCCTTGCTTTAGTTTAGAGGAAAAAATACTGGTTTGCCTAGTAAAAATGTCTCGAAAATGCTCCACAAAGGAGCAAAGGTGATATTTTTTTAAAAGAATTCCTAGTGGCTTGAACATAAAGAAATAAATTGTTGTAACTTTGGTAATTTTGACATGCAAACCTAGATTTAAATTAAAAACTGCAAAATTTTGTTATGGGCGTAAAATTTGGGTGGTAGATTTACAAAAGCAGCCCCAACTTTTTTTTGGTTAGTATTTTAATTATTTTCGGAAAAAAAATCTATAACTTCTTACTAAAAAAAATTAATTTTAAATTAATTAAATTAATTTTTTAATTAATTAATTAATTTTAAATAACTCTGTTTAGCATATTATGTTTACAGATATCATTTTCCATTATATCTTACTTTATAAGTAGAGATGGGATTTTAGGTTTCAAAATTTATAAAAATAGGTACTATGCTCCACACTTCAAAGTCCCACCACGTGACCAGGTACGGAACGCAGTCTTTTGAAAATTTGTCATTTAAGGCTTTTCAGGTTATGTATCTGTCAAAGTATAGTCAATGAAAGAAATAATATTTATACTGTTACCGTTTATGTTTAAGCGTTAAAACCTTCTTGAAGTTCCTTACACTGTCAGCTAATATACCCATAGTGTCAATACAAGTACCTATAAAAGCTTCGACAAAATTTTATCTACATCGAACAATCATTAGGTATAAATAACCTTATAAATTCTAAAATTTAAATAAAACCACAGTATACTCTGTCTAATATTTTTACTTTTTACTAGTCTTTCTTATCCAGCTTAAAGTATACCTACATAAAGTTTTGTCAATACAATTACGTATAGCTTTAACTGAATTTTATCTTCATCGAAAAATCATTATAACTTTTAAAAATTTCAAAAATGTTATGGGAGTATTAAATATTTTTACATTGCATGTATATCTAAAAATTGTTTGTTTCCTTATAATCTTAACTTAAAGTAGGGATCCCGAGAGGTATGCACAATAGGGTGTGGTTTTTAGTATTTTTTATAAAATTAGAACGACTGTGGTTGGAAAAGTTGTAGGTTGGGCTTTTATTTTGAAAAATATTTTTTTTTCAATTTACAAAATTAATTTAGACCCCCCGCCGGGCCCCCAAAAATAAAAAGATATAAATATTAAAAAAATTATAGGCCTGCGTTGGGGAATGTTTTATTTGGGTCTCTTGAGTCCTCAAATTTTTTTTTTTCAAATTTAAAGTACATTTAGGCCCCCCGCCACACATCCAAAAATGTAAATAATTTGTTTAAAATTAAAAAATTGTTACAAGGCAGCTCTTCGCTTATTTTGAGCAATACTTAAACTCAAAATAACCCAGAACTCACCACGGGGAGGTGGCTGCCATCGATTTCCACCCCTGCCCGCCCAACCACCCTTCCATGTGGGCATTTTAGATTATTCTGTGCTCACCACATATTCTGACTTTGTACTAAATTCTGGACTCAATTATTGTACGTATCCAACCATCCCTATTTTTCTCATCACAGACAGCCAAAGACGCTTCTGTTACTAACTTAACCCCTCTCTCAACCGCCTGTGTGTGGCAGGGTAGTTTCCACAGATCTTTTTTAGGAAAATCGCCGGTCTTAATAAAATCCTCAATAGTTTGATCAGATAGGTATTTGGTAAGTGGAGGCTCTGTAATAGTGCACTCTTGCCAGTTTATTAAACCAATATAACACTCAGAATCAAAGTTAAATGAAGGAATTTAAAATTTTCTAACTGTATCCTTTGACTTTTTATTGTTGTTAGCCGTTAATCTTAATTTCATAATTTTCCTAAATCCCAGTTCTCTTATATGTCGGCGTGGGTCAAATATCATGGAAATTAAAATATTTTCTGGATGCCCATAAAAGCCGTTCCTTTGAATCAATGGATCAATTACAGATTTTAACTCGTCGCTTAAATATCTTGAGAACTGAATCAGCTTCCACAAGTCCTGAGCCCCATTTGTGCACAAAGGTGAATATTTTACTAAAAACCAAACCTTTGCATACACTTTCAAAATGTACTCTGTTAGAATATTAAGATTGGTGGGTGGAGTCTCCGTTCCAATATAAGCCCGTAAAATCCGATTAGCAGTAGTGATCCATCTCGCATGAGACATTTTACCCGGTGCTTTATTTGCTAAACTAATTGGACAGTTTCCTGTAGATATAGCTGACATATTAGGTATACATATTTTTGGTCAGTGCTGAGTTCTGCTAAGTTTACATTAGGTAATTCTGTCCCGATTTTTTTGTAATGAACGACCGGTAACTTCTCACATGATTCAAGGAGTTTTCCAATGGGGCCTGAAAATGAAGCAGGACCTTTAGTATCGCCATCTAGATGTCGAAGCAAATGACGGAGTGGCAGCTCATTTGCGTGCAGTGGGGTCCAGTATTCACTACTGTCCCATCACAGCCAATAGCAACAAGCTCGGATGTAGAGATACTAGCTTTGTCAATATAACTAAGAATACTTGATGCAAGTTTTTTAGCCGTCCCGTTTTCAGGTGTCACAAGTCCCAAATAATTGCTACCAGGCTCCTGGATTAAAACTACATGCTCTTCAACAACAGTTTTTCTAGATGATGTGCTTTCTTGCTTTTTTATGTGGAAGGTGCGGTCTTTGCGTCCATCAAAATAAAGGGCTTGTAAAATTTTGCCGAGCCGAGCTCTTTTTCTTTGGCGATCCAATTAACACTTATCGATTATGTAAGATGTGTCACTGTTTGTGATTAAACCAACATCCTCAAGGACTGCACTGGCTATCATTGCACCTTTGCGACTCGATAATCCTGCTCGTTCTATTGCTTTTGCAAGTGACGGTAGGGCAAGT